GCTTCCCTGGGGCATGATGTGCAGCCTGTAATCGGAGGGTGATATGTGTCAGTGAAACTAATGAGCCCATCATTTTTTGTCGGATATTGTGTCTTCCAGTTCCTTGACCATGTTACTTGCCTTGATGGCTCTCCAGAGTGGTGGGGGCTGGGTTTTGTTTGTTTTGTTTTATTTTAAACATGTTCTTCTGTGGCTCAAGTTGGCCTTGAACTCACTATGTAGCCAAGGATGATCTTGAACTCCTGACCTCCTGCCTCAGTCTCATCAGGGCTGGGATGATTAGTGTGCATCACCATGTCTGACTTTGGAGGCCTGTCTTCTGACACACTGACTCAATAGCATGAATGAATCCCTTCATTATTCTGTAATCACAGTACACCATGCCTTACCCACAACACCCAGGGTTTCTTACTTTGATGTTTCCAGCTGCAAATCATTAAATTTCTTCATTAAAAACAATTTATCTGACCAGTGACACCACATGGGTTTTCTTGAATTATTAATTAGTGTTTTTAGCTAGGCTCTTTTTCATTTGAACTATGGAGGAAAATAGAAAGCATATTCTCCATTTATTTAGTGGTTAATTAGACTTAGAGCCTTAGGTATAATGTTATGTTTCCAACCTTTCCTTGAAGATTGTGATTTTTACAACCCTGGTAAGAAAGGCAAACAAACCCTCACAATGTGATAAAAGTGAATCTCATCTGTGTCACTTACTAGGTGACAAGACCAAGGGTGGGTATGTGTCCTGAGAAAGAGCCATTGTAAAGTTAAGAAATGGCCTCAATTGAAAGGCATCAGTTATAGAAACAGAAGCAGAGGGGAAAAACACAAGTCACAGGTCTGCCAGGGGCCTTGCAAAGGCCGTCTTCCTCAGAGGACCCTCTGCCCATCACTACTGTGGCATTACCTCCTCCACAGACATTTCATGGCTCTTTTTGGCCCTCTTCTATCATCCTTTCAGAAATCCTATAGCATTTACACCTGATTTATGCAACCCTGTTTTCTCTGTGTATACATGTGTGTGTGGGTATGTACAGAGCCCAGAGGACACCCTCTGGTGCCATTTCTCAGGTGCTATCAACTTCATCCTTTTTGAAAGTGCCTTTCATTGACCGGAACTTGCACATTAGGCCAGGCTGGTTGGTGAGTGATTCTGAGGGGGTCTGCCTGTCTCCACCTCCCCAAGGTGGGATTGCAAGTGTACATTATCATGCCCAGCCTTTTAAAGGTGGGTTGTAGGGATTAAACTTGAACACTGACTGCCTGAGTTGTCTTCTAACCCCAACCCTAGCCTTCATTATACACAAGCCTGGTAGGCTTCTTCCTCCAACAGCAGCTTTGTAGATTGTTCACAGGATACAGATACTCAGTAAGCGTTTAAGAAATGCTGGTTGAACAACATCCTGAATTCTGTCCTCCTTGGGAAAAACATGATAGACTTCTAATGTTTATTTAAAAGAAGATAAAATTCAAGGAAAACTCTTTAAGGTCCTAAAGCTTGCTTTGTACTGAGTGATTTCCCCCCTTCCCCTCAGCCTCAGGCTACAGTTTGTGGAGGAAAGGATGTCTAGCTAGACAACCCAATTGAGGTGTGTTGGAAATGTTGGGGAAGGGGACTGAATGCTGACACTTTCTATAGCTGGGCAACTCTGCCAAATTCACCCTGAATGTTGACTCTTTTATTGCTAAGTGGAAAAAAAATCTCTATCCTATAAAACTGCATGGAATTTCTGCTTCTAGCCAGGGCACTTGTTATTGACGGTGGCTCTTGAAATGTTGGGACACACTTGTCCAGATGGGCACCAAATAAAGTGAGAAAAATCTTAGCTTCATATTTTAAAATGAGTTTTGCTTCCAGGTGATGAGCTGGGCAGGCTATGACTGGCATGGGCAGGGCTAACCCTTTGCTCAGGCCCCAGGGACCAATCTGATCTAAAATCCGTGTCCTTCAAACAAACACTAGCCTGAGACTTGTCAGCCCTTCCACCTTCTGTTGAACCTCTGCCTTGCCTCAGGCAGTTTTCGTGTTTAATCTGAACTTTTAGGGCTGGAGAGATGGCTCAGCCGTTAAAGGCTAGGCTCACAACCAAAAATATATATCCTTTAATCTGAGCTTTTGTTTGGGCCTGGTGGGGATTGGAACTCCATGTTTGCACTGAGAGATTTTAGCCATCTTATTTGTCTCCTTCCTGCTACTTAAGTGTGTTGGGTGACAAGCATGTACAACACAGATACATCTTTTCTCCAAAGAGTCCCTCTGATACCATGGAACCCAGGATAGGGAACCTAATTATCTAGAGAGAATCAGTTAGTTCACACTGTATGTGTGGTTTAGGTTGACTCTGAATTCAAGATCCTCCTGCCTAAGTCTCTAGAGAGTTGGAGTTATAGGCATACACCACCACACCCAACTAGCTCCAAAGTTTTGTTTAAGCTTCCATGGTAAACACTTACTGAGTACTGACTAAGTGCCAGGCCTTCTGCACGTTACAGAGACCATCTATGTAACACTAGCATTAGTGTCAGCATGTAAACAGGAAACAGAAGTACAAGAGGGATAGATAACCTAGTCAAGGCTACACAATGAGTAACCAGCAAAATGGATGTCCTGATTTCCCATCAACCCCTGGTCTCCTCTTCAGCATTTCTCCTGCCAGCCAGAGTTCATGCCATTCTTTCAGATACAAGATCTGGCTCTTGGGGACATCCCCATTCTTCTTTTCTTGAGTTTCATATTCAACATTTCAGGAAACCCATAGGCTTCCCTCCCATGCCACTGAGTCAATACAGAACTTTCCTCAACAGCCACGCTACTCCTACTGTTTCCAGTCTGCCCACTGGCTATCTCCATAGAGTGCACTTTCAAATGCAAGTCAGATCTTGTAACTCCACTTCTCCAAAGCCTAAGTTCTCACAAGGCCCCACATCCTCATCCCTGGGCACCTTACTGGCATTGCTGGCTTCATCTAATCCTTTACAGAGAGACCTTCTTGTTTTGCCTCAGATGCCAGAGGTCTCTGGCCTCAGAGTTTTACCATTAGGGCTCTTGATTTGGAACTTTCTCCTCAACCCTCCTGTGGCCTCACAGTTAACTCCCTCACTATCCAGGACTCTACTCAAATGCTACTTTCTCATTGTGTCCCATTTAGTGTGTACACTGGAGTCCACTCACCAAGGTAGTACCAAACTCTCTTATTTAGTTTTTCCCTATCACATATATTATGCTTTAACACAGCATGGGATCATTGGTTTTTTTTTTTTTTCTATTTATTGCTCATTGTGTATCCCCCATTCTCTGTCTACTGGTGTACCCTAAGTACCTAGGAAGGAACATCTTATAATCAAAGACTGTTGAGTAGTAAACAAATGGACTTGTTTCTCAAATATTAGGATGGTGATAATTTTGTTATAGACTAATAGAACAATCTCAAGTGAAAACAAAACAAAATTATACAGAATATAATGGAAGGTAGTTTTAATCAAGAGTCTATTGAACAGGAAACTTAGTGACATAATCAGACAAAGGCATTATGAGGTGTGGATGGAGGTTGGAATGAGTTGAGAAGATACAGTGGACCTTTCCTGGGAATAATTTAAACCTTGTAACACATTGGTAGGTCACCCTTTCTTTTTCAGAGACTCAAATTTAAATTAGTAGTCTTGTATTTTCATACTACAAGCTAGGTCAGTCCTAAAATTGTTCACTTTCCAACTTTCCTTGTCCTTGTGGTGTCAAGGGCATAACTATTTGTCTATGGTGTGGTCACACATAATAAATAATTATTAGCTCCACAGGGTGGAGAATGCTTCTAAGCAGAAATTAGGAAGAACACATCCTTCATGAAAGTTGGCTTCCTGTACATTTAAAAGGTAAATAATTTCTTACCGCACTTGGCTTTAGGGCTCAACTGCTATCTCTCATCTACCTGTGACACTACCTGTGACACAACACCAATTACTAAAGAGTTCTATCAACATGATTTCCAATGGCTAACCAGGGATGACCTTTGTAAACATACTCACGGACTTCCTTGCTAGAAAGATCTCATGGAGGGCACACACTCAGTTAAAGAAAGAAAATAGACAAATAAAGTGGTATTAGAAACACTCCTATTGGGGGATGGGTTCTTAAGATACGTGAACTGAGCCCCAACTGCCCAGGTAGGCTGAGCTTTGAGACAGTGACCCTGGTTAGAGGGACTTCATAGGCCCAAGTGTCAAGTCTCTCTTCCCCGCATTATCTCCTCAGAAGGCCTTGGGATCACCAACACCAGGGTTCATGCTCAGTCAGCACAGTATGAGTTGAAGGTGTCACACTCCCTCTCTTTTAAACATACTATTTTTGATTTATTGGGCATCACATAAAACAACAACAACAACAACAACAAAACCAGCTCCAGGTGCCTTTAGGGCAGCCAGAAATAAAAACTGCCTGATAGGTTGATCCATCTCGTGTCCCTAATGCAAAGGCCCCTTCAATCTCTCTGGCTTCATCGGTTTTCCATTTCCCCCTAGTTTATTTCCACTACCACATAAACAAGTTTCCATTTTTACCATCCTCAAATAATATACCTTCTATACCTTTCTTTAATGGGCACCCCCCATTCACTGTTCCTTAAAACAACACAACACAAAACACCCAAACTCTTCCAGATACATTTTCTATGCTATCCAGTTCCTTCCTGTCTCCATGTCATGTGTATCTGACTTGGAAACCCACCCTCACAACAGCCAATCATATCACACATGCAGGCTGGTACAACCAGGCCTCCCCCCCCCCCAATACCTGAGACAGAGAGCCTGAGGACCTGACACACGGATCCACAGTAAACCACTCCTGACCCAGCTAACATCAGGGCTCAGTGGACAGAACAAAAAAAAAAAAAAAAAAAAAAAAAAAAATCAGGAAACATTTCATGTTTTGCATAGGAGAAAGCTGGGGTTTGGGAAGAGCAGTTGAAAAGATGATGGTGGTGAGGTAGGAGGCTCCGACTTACACAGTGTGTGGTGGTGATGATCACAGAACTGGAGATGAAGGACAGGCCATCATTCATGCTGACCTGCAGTGCAGCTTTCCTGCAATGACAAGAGAACCAAATGCACTTAGCATACTGTGTTGTGAGCAACAGCTTGAGAGCCACACAGAACTTGGTTACTTCCCTGTGGGGCCTAAAATTTTTTCCTTGCAGCATGGAGAGGACAGTCTCTCAGGGCCAAACACCTATGACATCCAAGAGATGCTGGATGTGCTCAGCTGATGTGTCAAGGCAGGATGTTAACTTTGCATTGCAGTGAACTTCAATGGACAAGGAAAGCCTGTCTCATTTGACCTGTTTACTATACTTTGTGATTAGATAATGCTAGCTAGCTAGCTTCCTTCCTCCATCCCTCTGTCCCTCCATCCCTCCGTTCCTTCCTTTGAGACAAGGTTTCTCTGTCAAGCCTTGGCTGTGCTGGAATGCAGCACTGGAGAACAGGCTAACCTTGAACTTAGAGATCCACTTGCCTCTGCGTCCTGAGTGCTGGGGTAAAGTTGTGTTCTACCACATCCTGTTAGATAAAGCATTCTTAAAAGACCCATCCAAGTCAATAGGGATAACTGGGTGGACTCAGTAGTCTGATGGCACAGAATTGTGGGCCCTGTAAGACTCATGGAAATACAGCTGTGGACAAATTGTCTTCTCCAGGCTTCTGTCCATAAAGTCTCACAGAGATAAGAACTCATGTCACGCTATATGACTTTGGGCTAGGTAGCTGGCCCCAGAGTCATGGGCTAATTGCAGACTCCCAGTTGGAACAAATGATGAAGGAGACCTAATGTTTTCCTTGGAAGCCATTTCCTGACTGGTAGGCATGGTTCTGTCCTCTATCAGTCTGGGTTCTCTGGGCCCCATAGCCCTACCCTAGCTCAGGGTATTGACTATCTTTCATGGCCACCTCACCAGCACTTGTTTAAATGGCATCATGAGATGTCCCCATGAGATCAGGGAACACGGGAGAACACCCGAGGCTTTGTGAAGGGTTGAAAATGACGCTGAAGGTCATGAACCAACCATGGCACTTGTTTTGCCTTTTTAAGTTTCCATGTCTTGAAGGAACAGATAACAGTCACTTTCCAGGATAGATGATGACAGGATGTAGTAATGCATGTGAGAACTTTCTAGAAATGTGGTTGGTGTTGAGTCAGCAGACCCAGGCTTGAGCCCATACTCTTCCACTGGCTGCTGTGTGACCCTGAGCAAGGTATTCAAATCCTTCTAGCTGGCTTGACTGGTAGTGTCTTCTCTGTTGTGAACTACAGGGGATGAAAGAGATGTTTAATCACCCTCCTGGTGGCTGCTTTGCCATAGCTTTGTCACCATCGTCATTGGCAGAACCCAGAGGAAGATTCCACGATGACAACGGCAAAAGATAGTGCTGCTCCTCTATCTCCTCTGCCTCTGCTTTCCTGGCTGTAGAACCCTGTGGCTGATGAAAACTTACATGCCAACTTCTTTTAAGATGGGTGCTGGGCACAGCAAGTAAGTGTCTTCCACAGCAAAGGGCTTCTCATCTGCAAAAAGGAAGTCACAAGGTTATGTTTTCCAGTTCTGTACCTTTGGAGGTCATCAACCAAGTCCAGAGGGACGTGATGAAAACAGAGAACTGTGTGAAATAAAAACTCCTCTTGCACTTAGTTATGGTTGGAATATAAAATGTCCCCTGAGGGCTTACTGTTGAAACCAAGTACCATGCTGGAGGGGGTGGCTATAGAGGTAGTCACTGAAAGGCTGTGTCTAAGGCTAGACATTGCCCTTCTGGTAGCTCTCCCCTATTTCTGGGAGTGTATTCCTTATCTCAGTTTCTCTCCTCTCTTCTTTCTACTCTTTCTCAGATATATATATATATATTTGCCTCATGCCCTACCCACCTCTCTGGCTGTCATGAGGTGAAGAACTTCCTTCCTTCACTCCTTCCAACTCCATGGACTGAAACTTCTAAGAACTAATTGCTGTACTTGTTTACCTTGTGTATTTGTCAGAGCAGCAGAACGCTGACATCTTAGGGAACCAAGGCAGGAAGAGAGTTTAAGTTTCTCTCCCCTATCTTGAGTGTGTGTGTGTGTGTGTGTGTGTGTGTGTGTGTGTGTGTGTGTATTATCTTCCTTTATGGTTCTCCATTTAATTTTTGAGATGGGTTTTCTAAGTGAACCTGGGTCTTCCTGATTCAGTAAGGCTGTCTTGTCAGCCCTGGTTATCCTCCTGGCTCTACCTCCCCAGTGTTGGGATTGATGACAGGCACATGTTGCTGTGCCCAGCTATTTATTTCTGTTTTCCTATGTTGGTGTTTAGGTATTCAAACTTGGGTCCTCATGTTTCTGCGGAGCAACCTTATACCACCCGAGTCACCTCCCTATCCCAGGGTCATTTTTAAGATGCAAAAATGGAGGTTCCGAAAGATAGGCCAGCGAGAGAAGCAAATCCAAGCTCAGACCCAAACTCTGCAGCATCCAGTCCTCACAGAGAGACTTCTGGCTCCAGGGAAGTCAGGATGAAGGAAAAAGGCAAACTCCCAGGCATGGCTGACTGGATGGATCCTGTTCTTATTTCCTTGTGCTTGTGGTTTATCCACAGCTTTTGCACACGGTACCGGTGGTGCATCCCCACCCACAGAGCCACAGGCAGCCATAGAGTGGCTTTGTGACTCTAGGCTGCATGCTGTGGTTAGAGCTGGAGGGCTTCTGAGGTGGCCATAGCATGGAGGCAGATAGAGCCTGCCAAGGGCTCCACACGCTGGTCCTGTGAGCTCCTGTCTCATCTCCCCATCCTAGCTAACAAGGGCGAGGGGCCAGAGGCAGCCTTGGCAGCAGGGCATTTCTAATTCTTCTCCTCTTTTCAACTTCCTTTCCTGGTTGGGAGACCAAATATTTCTGGGCCAAAGCAGACAGAAGGATGGAGGGCTGTGGCTGCTTGGGGTATATCTCTGCTGTCCCTGAGGTTGAACCCAGGCTGGGAGGCTGTGGCCTAGCTCTGTGGAGCTGGCACTTCTTTGAGAGGGACTGTTTGGTTTGGAGCCTGTTTTCACTTTACCACAAAAATGAGTGGCTTTTTCCCCCTCTCTCTCTAAACAAAGGAGGGCCATTTGGTTTCCATAACTCAAGTCATCTGACTCCTTCCTGGAATGGTCACTCACTCGGGAAGCAGGGCATAGACTTCCTCCTCTGCCACAGAGGGGCCTGTACTGGTTTGGGGGCCATGCCAGCCTCACCGAAGCCTCTGCCAATGCCAGTTGTGTCCTGCTGTTTATGGGGCCATAATCTGCTCTGAGGACAATGGGGCCCTGCCTCTCTGCTCACTGGGTGGCCTTTTCACTTCACCACTCACTAGCACTGAGTTAAATGGTAATGGAGACCAGGAGCTTGGGGCACTCTGCACAGTTTTGTTTGCAACCAGGGAGAAAATTAGAGAGGGATGGGAGTTGGAGACCAGAAGTTTGTTTGTTTGTTTTTAATGAATTCGAAATACAGGTACTTCAGAATTCTAAGCACACCTATGACATACTAGCCCAAATCCTTTGTCATAGGAGTTTGATAATCAGACAGAAATTTGACTTAAATCAAGATTTAAGAATCAATAAATGTCACTACATTGACATGCTGAGCGCAATATGGGAGGCAGACATTCTAGATACAGGTGTGTCACACCTTGTGAGGAGGACACAGGAGATGCTGGCCCCACTGATCCAGGTTCAAAGCACAGATTTTCCTCTGGCTAGTGTGCAACTGGGGCCAGGTTCATGTATGGTTGGTGACTATGACATCATTGTGCTGCTGTGTGCAAATAAATACGAATAAATTAAAGCACAAAGTGTAGTACGTGAGGCCCAATAAGGACTGGAGAAACTTCCCTCCACAGCACCCAAGTCTTTACAATCCATTGTAAATGTAAAGGCCACAGCTTTCAAAACACCTGGTTGCTTATTCACATTGTCTGGCCATACTAACATCATATAGACATTAGGAGTCTTGGAGATGTGTGTGTGTGTGTGTGTGTGTGTGTAGCTTTATTTAGCATAAGGGTTCATCCATCCTTTGTATACACACAAATGCATTTATGATGACTTTTCTCAACACTGAACAGCCATAGTCTTAAGTTTGCTTATTCATCCAGAAGAGAGAAAGATATTAGTTTAGTGCTCACAAATGCTAATTATTCCAAATGCTAGTTAACTGAGTTTGTGCTACAGAGGGGTCAGAGGTGGAATTCTAATCTATGTTTTATTGAAATGATCAAGAACTTGAATAAGCAAAGCTGGCCCCCAGCAGTGAGCACACTTTTCAGGTCAGGGGATGAAGGGTCCCAGTGCCATAGTGAGGTACATGTCTATCCTATGATTACCTGATTTTTGACAAAGAAGCTAAAATTATACAATGGAAAAAAGAAAGCATCTTCAACAAATGGTGCTGGCATAACTGGATGCTGATACATAAAAGGTTATAGATAGATCCATATCTGTCACCATGCACAAAACTTAAGTCCAAATGGATCAAAGATCTCAACATAAATCCAGCTACACTCTTGAACAAATTGGCCCAGGAGACCACTTCCTAAACATAACACCAGTAGCACAGACACTGAGATTGACAATGAATGGGACCTCCTCCTGAAAGTGAGAAGCTTCTGTAAGGCAAAGGACACTGTCAACAAGACAAAACAGCAGCCCACAGAATGGGAAAAGACCTTCATCAACCTCACATCTGACAGAGGGTTGATCACCAACATATACAAAGAACTCAAGAAGTTAGTCATCAAAATACCAAATAATCCAATTAAAAAGTGGGATACAGAACTAAATAGAGAATTCTCAATAGAGAAATCTCAATTGGCTGAGAGACACTAGAGAAATTGTTCAACATCCTTAGCCATCAGGGAAATGCAAATCAAAACAACTCTGAGATACCATCTTGTACCTGTCAGAATGGCTAAAATAAAAAATACCAATGATAGTTTATGCTGGAGAGGATGTGGAGAAAGGGGACCACTCCTCCATTGCTGGTGGGAATGCAAACTTACAGCCTCGTTGGAAATCAATTTCTCAGAAAAATTGGAATTAGTCTACCTCAAGATTCAGCAACTCCACTTTTAGGCATATACCCAAAGGATGCACATTAAGATATCTGTTCAACTATGTTGATAGCAGCATTAATAGCCAGAACCTGGAAGGAGTCTCCATGGAAACCCTGGCCTCAGGAATTTCCCTGGAGGCCCTGCTTTAACTGCAATGAACTAAGAATCAGGAACCACACAAATGAGCTCAGTCTCAGGGTTCTAACCTCACAATATAATATTCTTCAGGTTGTGGGAGAGGTTCCCAGTTTTCTTCCCTACAATTTGGTGACTGTCTATGGATTTGGGATAAAACCAAGATTAAAATCCATTAGCCAATCCAAACACCAATCAGTGGGTTCATTTGAGGCTCATGAAATAATTAGAATCCTTTTCAAGTCTTGGCAACCTTTCTTGCTATAAATGTGTGTTCTGGCACAAATAAACAGAAAAATAGTCCTTAGTCTTATCTAACCCTCCAAGAACTGATGTAAGCCCCTGAAAGGAGTTACATTCCTGCTGTGCTATTTGCAGGAGGAGGACTGAAAAGCTAGCTGGGCTGCTGGCTTTGCTCTCAGAAATCCCCTGGGTCTAGGGAGAATTTACAAGGCTTCTCTGAGCCAAGTTAAAGGGTCCAGTACCAAATTATCAGCTGCTTTGTCAACACTGGTCCAAATTAAGGGGGAACAGAAGTTAGTGCTGGGCTAAACACCTCCCTTGGTCTCTGCCTTCAAAAGGTAACAGCTTTGAGGGAAATTACAGGCAGGGGCACCCTGAGTTGGTGAAATTCAAAACATCTGGGTTAAGCATTATGGAGCAACAGAATGAAAGGAGGTAGCCAAGTGTCTAGCTACCTCAGCTGTCACTTATGAACAATGTCATTACTTTGAACTCAGAGCACAATCTGGGAGGCAGGTGTCAATGGGTCCTCACTGGGACCCACTACTGAGAAGAGAGAGAGGTACACTACTAGGTAGTGTTGAGTGTGGGCTCTATGCTGGAAGGTTTTCATAGATGGGGATAACAGCTCAGGACTCTTAACAGAAGACAGTTCTGCTTTTTGGTACAAAGCTCTGTGAAAGTAGAGCATGACTTCTACTAAGACAGGCTGAGTAGTAATGGTGAAGTCAAGGGAAAGGGGAGTTAACCTAATGTGGAGAGAGGGCTGTAACTACATGTGGGCCATGACTTCAGAACCTGATATGTGTGTTTCACTGTGATGTCTTCCTGTGCTCAGCAGGAATGTGGGGGACACCTTCCAAGTAGTAGAACTGGGAGGCCAACCTGGTGCTCATACATGACTCAGAGCTATCTAACTCTCCTGGCCTGGAGCTGGAGGGTTTCTTGGAGCCCTCAATAGTCAGATCCTGTAAGACCAGAGGATGAGTTTGGTCACAGGTCCTGGGTCAATGGATGACAAACTCATAGTTCTGGCAAACGGTCTTCAGGGTATGGCTCTGCTTCCTAT